ACTATTGTTGGAGATTGGCAGGTCTAAGAATAACAAATGGTCATCCGTTCTTCCATCCATCATGGCTTTGATGCTTAATAGGATCGCTTTTAAAGAATAAATAAAGTCACAATTGTTTTACGCTGGATGACGGTAAACGTGCCCTCGCTTTAACATATCCACAGTTGCACTGGCCAGAGGTTAGGATACAGTTCTGCGGACATTCTGCTCCTCCATTGTAGCAAGCTTACGTCAGATAAATGCAGACGAGCAAGACGTATTGAAGGACGCTGTAACGAATGTCTCGGTGAAGAAAAATCAAACGTTCAGTGTGTTTATCTAACCTTACTGGTGAAAGGTAGTTTAAGCTTGTTACAAAGACGTAAATGAATACAGTGAAGCCATAGTTCGAAATACACATCTAGGAACAGCTCTTAAAGTTCTTGCCGGTGCGAGAACATCTCGGACAGTAGGTTACTCAGAATCAGCCTGCAAAGAGCCTTCCAGTCAAGTGAGCAATGTGAAAAACTTGCCCCTGTCCTAGTAGTATAACTTTTTAATTGCATAATATCTTATAGATTAGTGCAATTTTTGCCTTTTTCTTTAGCTTTTAAGTAACCTCTACTCCCTCAATAGACTGTACTTACCTATGAAAATTTTAATTTTCCTGATAATACTCTATACAACTTTAATTTTTATTGCATTTAGGGCTGAGTATTTATGAGTTGACTTTGCAGGCAGCGCTTGATAAACACTTATGGAATGATTTTTTATAAACTGAAAAGAAAACCATACAGACCTTGATTCTAGAAAAACTCACATAGTTGACAAACATTCGTACCAAACTCATGCAACTTATGGATCTTTAACTAATAAGCGAAAGCTTGAAGGTCCATTTCGAGAAACCTGTAACTGCGGCAAAAAAGACTGGTAAGCGGGCACAGAAAAGGATTGACGAGTGAATAAATACTGCGGTACATAGCATGAAGCCTTCACTTCTTGCCGTTGATCAATAAGGAAACTGACTTAGGGTTACACATTTTTAATTTACCTTCGCAACTCCATAAGAACAAAATAAAATTAGCAAATAACTTGAAAGTGCCGCAAAACATGACACGTCGTAAGAAGCAAACACTTAAAACTTATGCAATTGTGCTGAAAATTCTATTCCCGGGTGGTAAATCAGAAGAAAGAGGAGCGTTCACCGGAAAAAGGTTTATTACAAGCCTGACGTAAGCGGCACGACGACAGATAGGAGACAGACGGACGATAAGACTGAAGACGCGGCGAGAGACACACACAGTGACTCAAACATGATTGGTAGAACAGGCACACGCAAGAAAGGGCGGCATAAAGACGAGGACCGTGAGCCAGAGCATCCATTCTCTGAAGATGGGCAGACGAGACAACTATCCGAAAAGTCAGGCTTATAATAAACCTCTCCCGGTAAACGCTCCTCTTTCTTCTGACTTATGTGATTATTCGGATTTACCATCTGGTATTTTTTACTGTGATACGCTCTAGTGGGCCATTTAGCTTTCTCAACCACTGCAACTGAAACCGCCTCCGATCCTTTTGAAATTGCCCTATCATCAGAGCCAGGTGAGCTAGGTTGTGAAGAGTGTGACCGATAAGTTCTGACGTTGCGCCGTTTCGCTCTCACTACAATTCCACAGACAGTTGCATAGCGACTGTCACTGATACAGTTAGAAGACAAGAGAGGGCGAGAAGTTAACGGGGAAGTGGAAAGCGGGTGCTGATCTTTTAACCCTAGGTTTGAATATGCTGCAACGCAGCCGCCCTCATTTGCAGGTAGGCACAAAGACGTGTAAGTGCACCACGCTGCACTTGACATGTCTTATGCAACAGAATATATGAACGTTTTGTGCGGATATCGAATTACATTGCGCATAGTGCTCACTTCGGTCAAACACAATTATCAGCACAGACACCAAAAGTAGTTTCGGAGGGAACATCGAGAAATACAAATGAGACTGAGGAGACCCGCTCAAGATTACAAAATGATTTTGGGTATTCGCAAGCAACTCTTTGTGTGAATAATCTACATCTAAAGCTTCCGTGGTTATCTTTAACAGTTCTCTGATTTTCTGAAAAAACCATTGACCCCTCTCTTTAGTTCACATCAAAAAAGACGGAATTATGAAATACATTGACGGAAATGATAGTTTTTTCGTGCGTTGAAGGAAATATGATGTCCTCACAGACAGTCGCATAAAGGTGATTAATGATTTGAGGAATTAAAACGACATAGGTAAGGAATCTTGAGCCCAATTTTGGCTTTTTAATTTATAACATTGCTGTGGCTATTTATTGGAGTGGTGAAAGGAAATTTTATAGACGCCGTCATTATCTCTAGTAGTTATGCCGAAAACTCTGGCCTTCAAACCTCAAATTAACCTTTAAATGAATTGCTTTATTTATAATTTACTTCCGCAACCTGCGTACCTAACGCCGACCTCACAACCTTTAGTGCTGAAATGCGATCGTGGTAGATTGTTCATTGGTACCAGACAGACTAATTCCTACTACAGCCCCTGACCGGTGTTGTGGCGTTAAGGGTAACAGCCTATTATACGGATCAGCACGGAGAGCAAAAACTCCAAAAATCTGTACAACGGGACCGGTGATAATAGTATCTTATTATTTTTTAATTTATTGTTTAATTTAATTATTAATAATTACTTTAATTTGTTTTTAATTTATCGCGCGCATTGTTAGTGCCAGATATTAGTTTTTATAATAATGTTATCTACAATTTTCTGTTTTCATTTGCTTTTTTCGCTTTTTATTTCTCCGGCGCCCCGTAATGCCTCCCTCCTATACTCCCCTTGCGAGTGGTTCCGTATTACAGAATTCTGGGGTTTTTTCCGTCATGATCTATATAGCAAACTGTTACAACGTTAAGATTGTGGGTGTATATTGAGCGCCACAGTCCTTGGTTGGTAGGGTTAAAAAATACAGGAATGGAGAGTGCCATGTGTATAAAACCCGACGTTTGTTATGGTGGTAACCCTCATTTATGTGACTTGCGCATTTAAAGACAGTGCGAAATTATGCCAGGAAGAATGCCTCTCTGGGGTATTGGCCACAGCTAGGTCCGAGCTAGGTCAAGTGTATTTATTTCTTAGGGAGGTTTACTGCATTGTCAATTGGTTGAGTTGTTCAGCAGTCACATCGGCGGCTTTGTCTGAATGTGTGAGCTAAAGCCAGCTGAACAGCTAAAAGCCAACACGTCCGGGAATATAGTGAAACAGAAGGAAACGTTGTGAAGTTTAGTAACCTGGAGTTGTTCGAACTAAAAAATCAAGCTGGGCAGTACAATAATGACAATGACCTTCTGCCAGACAGGTTGTGAAGTGGAATTGTCGATGGTCAGACCGACAAGGGAATTATCAGTTTTTTAACTTGTGCAAATGCAAACTTGTGGCGGTACAACGATCACGGACGACAAAAATACTCAATTGTTTGCAAGGCTGAAAGCAATTAGGGCAGCCGCCGAACTGTCGGGGACATTCAAAAAGAAAGTATGTCGAAGTTCATGGCGCTAACTGACAGTCAAAGCAAACTGGAGAATTCCTTGTTTCTTTGCCATTTTCTAGGACTTTTTTCCTTGTCCCCAGCGATGGCCGTCTGCGAAGAAAATTCAGCAAAACGTATATATACTGTATTTTTCTGTCAGAATGAATCACGACCAAGGGTTTCTGGGGCAGAGACAAGAATATACTGTTTAGAACGTAAACGGCATTTAAAAGTTTGACCGGCGAAAAAATGCCGACCGACGTTTCTTGCACCATCAAGGGCTAAAGTAGATTTCTTTCAGGCGCGAGATATTTTCAGCAAGTGCGAGTGACCGGAAGACTTGGTTGTAAAGGCTTTGGCCACTCATTTCATGAGACTCTTCTCAGGCTTATTCAGACGAAGCTACGAGGGATATATCCAAATTGCCATGGGAAAGACGCTTCGGCGGTTTTAATTGGTTGCCAGTTATCACATCGTAGGAGTCCTCCTTTTTAATGCGGATTGCAGTAGGAAGTAAATTCGGACGCCCAGACATCTCAAAGCTGGACGAATATACCATGTTCAGAAATGTAATGGAATAATAGTTTGATGGGGCTTTCGCGTTTTCCAATGACCAGGTCACAAGGCTTCAATTGTAGCTGATGATTTACGTAGAAAGTTAGAGAGACTACTTCCTCTTCCAACTGTCTGCTCTGCCCTTCCGCCGGCATACGTAAGACCTCCGGGCAGATTAAGTTCAGTTTTCATTAAGAAGCTGTCCTAGAGTGTGAATGACTTCATACACCGTGCCAGTATGACTAAAAGTACCGCGAGGGGGTTGAAATTTTATATAAACTGCTAGTTGTTTCGTTATCCCAGTGATTTACCTCTTTCAAAGAGACCCGAAAGTGTGACCGCCTTACAGCAATCCCTTTGCTCACAGTGATTCATTCGGACTTCAGATTTCATTATCTGTTCGAGTATTGATAACCCTGCTGTCTCAAGCATTCATCACCAATGTCTCCCTATTCATCCTTGTTCTCAGTTAGAAACGACGAGGCACGGACAACTAATTTTTGTAAAAGTACATTCCGGTGGTGTCCCTGACTGTGAATCTCCATCTGTCTTAGCCAACTTAAGGAAATTAAATGTGTGCGCTCTCTGCTATTCGTGAACGAATTAAGCGCTGTAGATGACTTTCTCTTTGTCGCCAGCACAACATTCCACCTAGGGAAGTCAGAGGTCTCTGATATTAATCTATTCAACCACTCCCACAAAACAATGCTTATTATACTTAAAGCGACAAAATTATTTAGAAATCTCGAAAGTACTGAAAATATAACAGGCCTGTGATGCTGGTGTGCCAGAGGCCACGCTTGTTTATGTACACGGATAAAGAAACAACGACAAGGTAATCATATTAAATCGTAACACCGACAGTAAACAATGTAGGAGGAAAGTTTAAATTTGCAGTACTAGGAGGCCCAAGGTGGAGATGCACATCAAATGTCCCAGTCTGTTTTCATATTTTTGAAACGCGAGAGGATATCTGTGACTTCGTGATTCCCGCTGAACATTCGCTCACTGACGAAGCGGTCGTCCTCCGGAAGATGCCGAGCCAGCTCATCTCGCAAGAATTCAATTTCACTGACAAGGGCAGTCATGTCTCTCTTCAGTGACGTTATCTGTCAATGAATAGTGATAAGAAAGGTTAATTCGCATGGGAATTATGATTAACCTGAGTATCGTTCTTATTCACCTTTTGTCACAGGCATCTTGTTCTTGTAGAGATGCAACTTTGACTGGCCCACCCTTGCTTCAGAACTATGGGCGATTAAAACTTCCATAGTATTACTAATGCTTCTCACTGCTATGATTTTATCCTCTCTTCAAACACAAATAAACGCTTAATTGACCAGCTATTTTTGTGGTTTTGTGTAAATGAATGCAAAAATAAGTTTACGGTATATGGGAATCAAGCTGAGTTTATGCATTCGTATTTTATTGTAATCCATTGTTACTGGGCGCCAGAAAATGAACATCTAAGTTCTAATTGCTCTCTCCTTACTGTGAGCCCTAGATTGTGGTGTCTTAGTTTTTCCTTAAATACAAGCAACTGTCAATGTCAGGAAGGCTGTATGCAGCTCCTTTGTAGTCTGTGAGTTATTTAAACTCGGCGCGGCTTTTAAATTTCACTCAGCACGTTGAAACACTGGAGAATTACCTCGCCAAATGCGTTTTAAAGTTCCTTTGTAAAAAATGTCAACTCAGCGTTACTCATAACAGATAGGTTTTCTAGAGCAAACAACGCCGCCCTTATGTTCGTGGATTTTTTTCCTTACCTTTACAGATGGTTGCAGCATATAGCTTCTGACTCTATAACATTTATTGACATTATAGCGTTTACAAGAGGGTTTAATAAACATTTATCCCCACTATTTTTTAGAAAAAATAAATGACTTCCTTGAACTATTCTACGACCGTAGATCATCGATTCAACTTGCAGCACATGAGTCTAAAACTTGAACGTATATTTGCCAGACACTGCAACTAAAATAAGAGGACGTTAATAGACGTTTAATTGATTGATCGGATTTTGTACAATATAAGGAGTAATGTAAAGTATGAAGCTCATTGGGACCGCGTGCTCCGACGATTGAATCTGCCTTACTTTTTAATATCAACATAAATGAATTTGAACCTTCTTATCCTCTTCTTCTCTACATGTTTCTAATAATTATGAGACATCTAAGAAAAATTTATCGTCTTCCTGGAAAATTTTGAATTCCTGAAATATTGCAATTCCCTTAACGGGAGAAAGCTGATTTGAGTTGTTTGAGAAGTTTAATCAAGCAAGTCATGAGTTGAGGGCTTCAACTTTGGTTAATTAAAGTTTATTGACATCTCTGGCTCATGCCTGTTTGTGGAAATAGGTTGCACGCATAGTTCCCACAAAAACTCACTAATGTCTTACCACATAAAAGACAAACATAACTGACAGGCGTTTGGGCTGTAAAGATGTTTATATAGACACGCTTGCTGGGCTCATTCGGAAGTTTCCTTTAACCAAACACTTGCGAGCACTTTTCTTGATGAAAACAAAGCACTTGATTGCAGATTTTTCCGTTGTCTTTTTGGCTAAACCGGAGGTACTCATTGCGTTTGCTTTCAAACTTCTTTCCTGAAATGAATATTTGTATGTGCTGTTTACGTTTTATATAAGGACATTTGCTAACAGCTCATTTCACTTGCTTTCCTCTAATACAATGGTTTCAAGCATCTATCCAGGCGCTTCAGTTACATCACAAAAGGTAGCAACTTCGCCGTCTTTTGACGTCTTGCAGCTTGTACTTGCTGAGCGTCACCACGTTTTATCTCTTAACTGTCAGTAAGAATACTACGAAGACTTCAGTCATTAATACGCGAAAAAATTTCAGGTCTAGATAAAGTACTCCTTTCATCATCTCCGGAGGAGGAAGAATAAGAAGATACGATTTCTGGGACCGAAAATACACCTTGATCCCAGAAATCGTCTCTTCTTCTTCCGGGATGATGAAAGGAGTACTTGAGTCATTATTTCCAGTTCCCATCTGGCCTTTCGGGCACGTCTTTGAGCGCGCTCAATTCCGACGCAGTCTATTAAGTCATTCGAATCGGTTTCTTATTACCTAAATCCGTATGCCTATTGTCCTCTTTCTAGCAGTCTTCTTATTTATCATACTCGCTATTTAACAAATAATTGGCATCACATTATAGATTTTGCCTAAGGGTTTTATGCACGCGTAAAGGTTTACTAGGAAGTCATCCCCAAATGCGCGTGAAACCTGCTCTCTTCTGTTTTTCTCTTTATCGGAATTAGTTTTTCTAAGAATTTTCACACTAAATTTTTTGATATAGGTCATCCAACTACGGCGCATAAGCGAGGTTTTTACGTGAAAGACCACCCATCCGGGTACTTTTAAAGCTATGGTGCTTATGACGTCACTTTCACACTTAGGGCTTTCAATTGTTTGGGACTACAGCACCTTTTACTTCGGTACCTATGGCTTAAAACAGTACAAACGCTTACAAAAAAACGACCGTCAGAGCTAAGAAGATCAAAGCCAAGGATAGTCCGAGAACTCATGCAAATAACTAAGCGTTTCATGAAAGAAGAGTGTCGGGTTTTTTTAATAAAAAACTTCAGGGTTTAATGCAAGACATATTGCTTTGGATGTAAGAATCGTCCAGCATTCGTGGCTTAAATCTGGCCCGTTTACCAATAAACTTAGTTTAGTGGAATCAATTTATTAGATCCGGGAAGGGAGCATGCGAAATGGTATTCCAAAATAAATCACACTACCTGACGGTCCTTCTTAGCCACTGCTTCTTCCAGTCGCCATACTTCCTTTGAATTGAGATCAGCTTGATGGAGATGGTCGACAGTCTCCTCTCGCAACCGCTGCATTTCTTGTTCCGTTTTATTTGCAAGACTTTGCGCGGCCGTGGCCATGTTGGCCAAACACTTGTGCTTCCTCCCAAAGGCTTCAAGTGTGGAGTCAAATAGCTAGGTTTAAAAAACACCTGATGTGAACACAGATTAACAGAAAAGTGTATTAGTAGTAGCAATCGCCCACCTCACCTAACAGCATACAGCGTGAAGTGCTGTGGTTTGACACTGTCATCAGCCTAATACTTACTCGACCATTCTTTAACCGCATGTTAATGCCTAGTTTTACAGCTAATTACCTGTGCTGGTGGCCTGGTATTGACGTCATTTATCTAACCGACTAGAAGTTGCTCAAGATCTCAGGAATGAAAGATTCAACGAAGTCCTTTAGTGGTAAGGTTCGCAAATTGCTATTCGCTGACATGCAGTAGATCCGTCGCAGTGGTTTAAGTTATTCGAAAAGACTCTAGTCACTGCCATTTTCAGGCTAGGTTCCGTGTGAGAAGAGAAGAAGTGGGACGCCAGGCGGGGGGGGAATAATATTCTATACATAGGTATTAGAGAATAGTTTGGAGGACGTTGACAGTCAGACGAACATGCGTCCGCACCCGAGAAGGGCAGTGTCCAAAGTAGTCGTGACAGTGAGGTCATGTATGGGTCAGCTTTGAAGGTGATTGGTCAGACCAGACTGGGGCCGTAGATAGTCGCTTACAGTCGCGAAAGGCGAGAGGTCGAGCGTTGCACGCGGGATTGTGTCACTACAGGTCCTGCACTTCTAAACCTTCTCAGGCACTAACTTCGGCTGAACATTAACATGAGGCGCGAAGTAATTCTGTGGCAGCCAGCGACAAGTTTCAAATACTAGCGAAATGTGTTAACTGTTAATGAAAATTTTTAATTGCAGCTTGCGAGTCTGGAAGGCCCTGGGGG